TGGCTATCTTATTGGTCTACATCTATTACCTGCGACTACGACGAGTACCGATCGATTACTGCTACCGTATACTACTTGGTTACAGTAGCTAAAACCACTTAGCTACTTCGATCAAATATATCCCTTTCCGGGATATATCAGTTTATTACTTATTTCTACTTGTATGTGCCGTATCGCTTTATCACAATATCCTATTCCGTCTAACTCTAAGCAATGTTTGTCACTTTACCATCTCTCCTCGCCCCTGTTCTGGCATCAGTCTACAGAAACTCATTAGATAGGTTACTCGATATTTCTGTTTCTCTTACTTGCAATATCGTGAGTGTTAAATTCTTCAAGCCCTCTTTTCTCGCTAAATATATAAAAAAATTCAAGTGTCTCATTCGATTTTAAGTGTCCTTTTACATTTCTTTTTTTCTTAAAACATCCTCATTGCTCACGTTACGTCTATGGAATTCTTAAAATCATTCGGTTGCTTCAAATCTCCTCATCTGTGTGGAATTTTTTCATCATCAATTGCCACATAGGAGGATAGATAATGAATTGAAGTTCGGCACTCATTACTTTGTTTCGAAGGAAAATTACCTATCTCCTGATGAATTGTTTAGTTTCTCGAAAGCATCTTTCGCTAAATTGTTTACGCTTCGGATTTCTCTTTTACATTTTTCATCGTCTGTAACTTTGCTACCTAGAAATTTCGGTACCTGCTTAATTCTGATGTATCCAATTCGCAGTTCACTGCTATCCATCTTCTGCGTGTTAAGAGTAGATACCTCCAAAAATTAGCTAAGCAAGAGCATACTACGATGAAAAAAGGCCAAAAACTACGATGAAAAAAGGCGAAAAAACTTAATAAAAACAAAGTTTTATTGTCAAACTTTTTATGCTATTCTTAAGAAAAAAAACCAAAGCATCTTCTGATTTTTTAATTAAATTTTTAATCCTTTCTGGAACCTTCAAAATTTTACCTAAAATTCTTGTTTTGATTGCATCAACGGCAGCGCCTACAAGAGTATAGAGGATTTTAGCGTCACTTTTTTGGGCGTTAAAAACAAATTGTTTTGGAAAATCTTGCAAAAATCGCATTGAGTGTTCACATTTGTATGAACCGATTAGCTTCCACTAGGAGATTAAGTTCAGTCACAGTTAATCTCATTGGTGAGCCTGCATTTTTCTTTCTAGTCTAGCTGTTTTTAGTAACGCTTGTCATAGAACCATATCTCTGTTGCATCACGTCTTCTTGGAAGAAATTGTCCAGCATTCACTGCCATACAGGAAGATTAATATTAGATTACAGTCCAGCATTCTGCTTTGTTTCTAATGAAAATTTTCCTATATCTTAATAATATATATATATATATATATATATATATATATATATATATATATAATTCAAGAAAGAAATTCGGATTACCAACACACAAACAGGGAATGTCTCATATCGAGAATATTTAACATTGAACATAAGGAAAAAATTAATTATTTTTAATAATATGTGAAATCTCCACTTTTACCTGAAGACGGTCGCGAGACCAGAAACACGTGTAGTAAAATTATGTAAAACAAAGCATAATATTTTTCTAAATAAATCCACATTACAACCAAAAACGTTTGCGGCACTTCTCTTCTTTTTAATATACATACTTTTCTCTCGTTGGAACCTCTACAACATATTTCTTTTATATATACATATATATATATATATATATATATATAGTACACTTCAAACGTTTGAAGGCACCCACCAAATTACCATTAGATCAACTTGACCGAAGAGTGGAAAATGAAAAATAGCTCTTAGAGACATTGAAAAAAGAATTTTTTGCAAATAAGGCCAAAATTTTGTAATGCTGTAATCAAGGCTAAAGGAGGATATTTTGACGAGAGCAAAATTTAATCATAAGATGCTTTCTTTCTTTTTGCCAGAAAAATTTCCTAATAAAAAATCAGGCTTCACTTTTTTTTATCCCTGTATAATAATTTTCACTTATTTAAAGTACAAAACAACTACTTTTGGGGGCTAATTTACAAAATCACCAGGGCTGGCTTCAAATATATATATATATATATATATATATATATATATATATATATATATATATATATATATATATATATATATTTCCCCTTCCACTCACCTCTATAAAAAAACCCTCTCTATTAAGTTTTAATGTCCCACCTTCTCTCTTCTGTTACTCCTCTCTTTAGCTCGAACATTCGTCCCATTAATCTCATACTTACACTCTCTCTAAATTCTATTTTTTATTTCCGGAGTTGTTTTTTTCTGTTTTCTTTTTTGAATTTGTAGGTCTGATGAATTGGATCGTATTTACGATTCCAATGGAATAAATTATGACCATGGAATGTTAGTGTTTAGCCTTTTTTATTTTTTATTTATATATATATATATATATATATATATATATATATATATATATATATATATATATATATATTTGAGAGGTGTATGGAATTACGTCATTGTCCAATTTTAGATTTTCGTGCCATATCAGTAGTTCAGATCATATATAATCTGTCTTTATTTGTCTCGATTTGGTATCGTTAAATAAAGAGACAATTGAATATATATTTATGTGTGTGTGTGTGTGTGTGTGTGTGTGTGTGTGTGTGTATGTGCGTGTGTGTGCGTGTGTGTGTAGTATTGATCGTTTTATTTATTTGTAAGATCAGATATTTCCCCTAAGCACGAGAAAAGTAAATCGATAAATAAGTGGAGTGGTGTTTGATTGAGTCTTTCGTTAATAAAAAAAAAGCGCATATTATCTACGTTCAGTCTTTTTAGACAGTAAATGAGAATCGCTTACAAGTAGGCATGGAAAATTATACAATAGCGAACTTGTGTCTCCAATACTGAAGATGACGTACAATGCTTAAGTAAAGCTGGTAATTATTTCCAAATTTAGTTTCGGATCCTTAAGTACTTTTTCTTCGTTCATTCAATAAAACTGATTAATTTGCTGTTCGAACCTAGCATTTCTATTGCTGATTCTCAAGGCATCCAGAGCCTTCTACTTAATGAAAATTAGCGTAACATTATTTTCCTAAATCTTAACCGACATGTAAGTGCATATGTGAGTAATATCTTTATCTAATGATTATTAAATTCTTAGCATAATTTCCTTCCTTGTCAGTGTATTTAATTTAATGAAGATCATGTAGGGTGATCAATAAGTACGTAGCTGAATGAATAAAAAAAACATTTATTTTGCACAGCAAATATTAATTTTTCAAAAATAATCTCGTTCCTTTTGTATGCCGTTAAAATAATAATGAATATCTAAGCGCTTCAATATTTATGTAGCTTAATAAATAGAAAAAAAAACATTTTTGCGCAAGACATATTTATTTTACGACGTAATTCTTATCAATGCATTTAATGCATTGATGAATTCACTCCAAACAAGGCGATAATGCCACTCAGACGCAGTAGGATACTGAAAGTGAAAAAGATTGAGAAAACATTAGAAGGAACCGGAAACACAATCTTAAGCAGGAAACAAGGAATAAACTTCTACTCCAGTTCAAAAGACAGGGAGGATTTTGAACCGGACGAAAGGCGAACCTTTCTGCTCCTATTAAATATCAACGTGCATGGAAAGTCCATACGCTAATGATAAAAAAGCATTTATTTTGCACATCTATTTTTTTAATATAATCACTTTCCTTGTCAATGCACTTAATTTAACAAATAATATGCCGATACATCAAGAAGTCCGCAGCTTAATGAATTATTTTGCTTACCAAATATTCAGTATAATCTACTTTGCTAATCCAGTTTTCATTTAATCGCGCATTATACATTAACAATTTCAGATCAAAATTCTGCTAACAACGACCAGAGTAATCATATATTGATCTACTCCACCAAGCTTTAAACAGGGAGAGATTTCAAGTCATGCTCGAATGAAATACATACTGGGCCCACCCCCAGCTCATTCCAGAATAGACATTGCACTCTGGGCTCATCAGAGAAGCCAGGGTTGACCTGAGGGATGAGCTATAAGCACGGTTGGAGATTTACGATTCACACGATATGAGCGGCGTCTACGGGACTTCAGGTGTGTGTGTGTGTTTGTGTGTGTGTGTTTTGTAGGTGTTTCCTTTTCTCTTTCTTTATCTCTGGGCTATCTTACCCCCTCTCTCTCTCTCTCTTTCCCTCTCTCTCTCTCCCTCTCTCTCTCTCTCTCTCTCTCTCTCTCTCTCTCTCTCTATCCAACTCGTTGACGGTTTTGCTTTCACTCGCTCTGTACTCGTGTATTCTCTCCTTTCATCTTCTTCATCCTCATCCTCTATTTGTCTCTGTCATTTTATATCTCCCCCTTTCTTTCTCCTAACAAATGCACGTCTGCTAACGCCCCCTCAAATTCGCTTCCTTCCTCCCTCCCTCTTTCTTATATTTTCTATCTATTTATATCGACGCGTGCACGTGTGTGCGTATGTGTGTATGTGCATACTCTCTGTATCTCTATAACCACCTCTTTCTTTCTTTCTTTCTTTCTTTCTTTCTTTCTTTCTTTCTTTCTATCTCTTTCTTTCTTTCTTTCTTTCTATCTCTTTCTTTCTTTCTTTCTTCAATCTATTTCTTTCTTTTTTAATCTCTTTCTTTTCTATCTTTAATCTCTTTCTAAGTATGTGTGTGCGTGCTTTCATGCTTCCTTCTTCTTTCTTTCTTTCTCTAGGCTCTCTTCCTCTTTTTCTCCATTTTCTCTCTCTCACTCTCTCTCTCTTATGTATGTGTGCTCTTTCCATCTCTACCTCTCTTATCACTCTCTCCCTCTTTCCCTTTTTCTAAGAATATGTATGTATATGTGTGTATATGTATGTGTGTGTGTGTGTGTGCTTTTGGAGTATCTATAATCCTATCTCTTTCCTCTTCTCTCTCTCTCCCCTTCCCACTCCCTGTCGTTTCCCCCCTTCTGTTTTCTCGCTTTATCTGTTCTCTTTTTCTCTTTCTCTTTCTGTCTCACTCTTTTAACTGT